GGACGTTTGGGGCAGAAGCGGGCAGGCCTCGTCTCCCCTCGGCTGCCTCCAGCGTCTGCAGGCGCCCCACGGGAGCGGACCAACCTCCCAGGAACCCCAGCCTGCTTAATTTTAGTCATTTAAAAACAGCCCCTGGCTCCTTGAGGGGCTGCGGAGGAGGAGACTCCCTCACAACCTGGCTGGCTCAATGGGCCCTGTAAAACCCACCCGTCTCCCCGAGTCCTCCGCAAGGGCATTTTCTGAGTGCAGTGGAAAGATTCATTTCTACATTTCTGCCTTTGCACGTGCTCCGATTTGCCCCATGGTTTGCAAGAAGGAGACATGGCAGAAGGGGCTGGCCCCAGGGCAGCCAGCGCTGGTGTCCCCCAGAGATGCAGCAGGAGAAATCCCAGAAAGAAAAAGCCACAGGACTTGCTGCAGAGGCAGCAGACTTTCCTTTTTCACGCTTACTGGTTTCTCAGAGGGGTCCTGCTACTACTGACGCCAAGGGTCAGGGGACTTAGAGTTTTATTTTGAACGCTGGTATTATTTTGCACGTTCAGGAACGGGATAGCTGGTGGGGCTGTTAGGATTCTGCCACGGGGATGTGCTGGAGTGCTTGGGATGAAGAGTCCTCTCCCCTGGGCCAGCTCTGCCTGGAGGCTGTGGGACGTGCCACTAGTAAATCTGATAACCCAGCAGGTGGAAACAGCTGCTCGGTTTCACTCAGGCACCTGAGGAGACCCTCTGCGGCTTGTTCATGGTCAGTCTGGCTACCCATTGCCACAGGCACCATGGGATCCTCAAGAATTTCGTTACACAGGCACGAAAGGCAGGGCACTTCTCACTCGGAGCCACTGCCCCACAGCTCCTGCAGAACACGAGCATGTGGGCAGCCCCTGCAAATCCCCACGCTAGCTTATCCTAACACCCCGCTCGGGTAACCCAGCCCAAGCTTACTCCTTTCAGCTGCACCCAGCTCCAGTAATTAGCATCTGATTGCGGGTCTCGCTGCCAAGGAACCCCACCACAAACTCCAGCTGGCTCGGTGGACATCAGCCCCACCAACGGGAGCTCCTGACACCGCAACACTGCAGCACGTGTTCCTAGACAAAATTCACACTGGGAGATGTTTCCATTGCTCAGCAGACTAAACCCAAGTTCTGCAAATACCACATCTTATCAGGGCCGTTTTCTTTATCAAGTTTATTGCAAATTGGCTAAAGTGTATGGACTCCTGGAGCATGGAGCCTCATCCAGCTACGTCTTAGAAAGAAGCTAAGAAGGAGAGGCAGCTGTTTCTCTCTGCAGTATTCATAAGGTAATAATGGTAACAATAAAGGGAAGTAAAATAGAGTGGTTTCATTGTGATATTTCTTAAAAAGTAAGGATTCAATTGAATATAAAATGATAATTGATTTTAGGCACTTTGACAGACTGACGTTGGAGTCTAACGGAGTCATTTTCTGAGAAGAGCAGAAAGAAAGCTGTGTCAGGAGGAAACAACCCTCACTTAGTATAGAGAGGTGCTGCTGAGTAGCACTGCCGGAGTCCTTTATTTAAATAAGAATAATTATATTGCACAGGAAACTTGGATTTGAAAGCAGTTCCTCTGATAATTACTCCTGAAGAGGAATGTATCTGCTGCATTCACCAAAGCCTGAAGGCCTCTTATCACAGAGGATCATCTGCATTATGGCTAAAATTAAAACAAAGGGAGAGAAACAAACAAGAAAGGACATCTACTCCCAAACAACAGGTCCATGTGAAAAAAAGTTCACCAAGAAGTGGTGAACGTCTCTTGGAGTGAACATCTGATGTAATCGGAGGTGAGAGGCAAATAAGAGAATAATTATGCTGCACTTGGTTTCCACTTGGAAAGGAATCCCTCCTGGCTCCTTGCCGTACGATGTCGCCTCACTGCTCTATACCTGCTTTCTACTGGGTTCCACCGTACCCGCAAGCTCTCACCAAAGCCTTGCCTGTGGACAGCATTCACTGTGAAAGACTGGAAAATTCCTCTGGCCAAGTAACTGTAAGCAGAGAGCTGCATCTGCTGCTGAAGCGGGGTTTGTTTGCAGTCAGCCCAGACTGCAGCCTGCCCTCTCCATCTTCTCCCTGACCTTAAAACTTTGGATGGAGCAGGCGAGGCACTGACAGTCAGATCATCTCCAGGCAGGTTTTGACCACTCTACCTTTCACGCAAAGCAAATCCATAATTAAACAATGCCTTAAATTCTCAGACCGTTGTGGCTTCCCACTCTAGTTATGAAAATGAAGACCGTCCAGTGCGTGCCCCTGAAGTGACTCTCACACTGGCTTTCCTAAGCTTGCAAGGAGCTTCTCTGCGCGATCAAGAGCAGCGTGGCTCTTGGATCCGAGGGTCTCCTAAGGAAGGCCAGCAGAATCAAGTGGGTGAAGATAAAAGCCAGAGGTGGGCTAATACTTCAGACAGGGTGGGCTAATACTTCTTGTAAGTAGCAAGAGGGCATTTTACCCCCAAAGTTTTTCTAAGCAGTAAAGGATTGGTATTAATGTGCATGTGTTGCAGTGGGGAAAGGTATTTGATTACTGCGGAACAGGTCACTTACAAATCACCTCCTCACCTTTCAGGCAGCGTGCCCAATCTGTGCTGGCAAGAGAAATCCATTCATTGCAACTAACAGGCGTAAATGACCTGTTCAGTTGCTGCGATGCTGCAAGGACCGAAACATGGTCCTCAACCACGATGACAGTAAAAAAGCCTATGTCATTTCTAGAATGAAAGGAAGAAAAGAGGAACAAGATGCTTTAAAAAAAACAACCACCCCCAGACAAAAATAAAGGCGCAGAAGCTGGCAGGCAGCACGGGCTTCCCATGGTGAACGTATGCTCAGAAGAGAAGCTCCGGTGAAAGCTAGAGCGAGCAGGATCTGTCTCTCTGGGGGCAGGCATGAGGTTGCACAGCACCTCGCCA